GCGAGCCTTGGCCACCGCGCTGGATGTGGGGTGCCACGGCTCCGGGCCACTTGTCAGCAGGGCCACGAATTCTATGGGGGATGACAGTGATTACTATAGGAGCATGAGGATGCCCTGTGCTGTTCTCCCTCCCTGGGCTCACCTGTGCGGGCATCGTCGCGTGCCAAACCTTCGGAGCTGAGGTAGGAGCGGTCGTTGTACGGCTTGTCCATCTCATCCTCCTTGTCCTGGAAGTACTCAAAGGTGTCGAAAGGTGGCTCGGAGCTCTTCTCCAGAGGTCCTGGCAATGCTGGCAAGGGGGACACAGAGGGGAGATGGTTGTGGCACAGGTAACCCTGACACTAAGGAGCCCCTCCGTGGGGGTGCCCAGTGTCCCCAGGCTGATTCCAGCAGTGGGTGGTAGCACCACGCTCACCTTTGGGACAGGTGTGGCAGCAGTGCCCGGGCAACAGCGTGGCACGGGGGCAGGTGGGAACAGGGCAATCCTGCTTCATGTTCTTGCAGTTCACTTTCCCCACTGGTTTCCCTCGGCGATTCCTCTGCTGAGGTGGTGAGAACCGTGCCAAATCGTGCCAAACTCTGCCACAGATATGGCTAATCCCAACACCCAGCCCCAGCAGATGGCACAGCAGTGGGTACCAGTGCTCCCCTGGCACAGCCCTGATCCCCTCAGCCCATCTGCACAACCCCTGGGCCCCGCACACCTTGCACAGCCCCCAGCTGTTTGTACGGCAGCCAAATCCCGGCCCCCACTCCCCTGCCCAGCTGTGCTTGGCCCCTCCAGTCTCGGCCTCCGGGGGCTGCTGGAGGGAGAGGGCTGTCCCCGAAGAGGGGAGGAAGGAGAATGAAGCATGAGCCTTTAACCCTGCTCTGCTGGAGGGCACCCAGGTGTGGGGCCGGCTGGAGGAATCCCCGTTGCCCTTTCCCTCGGGGTGGGGTACTGAATGAAGGGGTGATCCCCCCCTCCCCAGCAGGGCCTCATGTGGGGGGCGGGGGGTCCCCTCTCCTGGCAGGGGGAGGAAGGAGGGCACTCACCGTCTCGCAATGGCAGATCACACAGCGCATCACCCCGAAGGGCTCCCCCAAGTCGGGGTGCCACGTCTCCTCCAGCGCATAGAAATGCCCCCCGAAGGCACAACCTGCAGATGAATTCCCACCCCATCATGGGAACACCCCCCCCAAGAAAAAAGTCACCTCCGAGCCGCGGGCACCCCCCTGCCGCAGCCCCGATGGGGCGGACAGAGTCCGGCACCGCCCCGTCGGGTACGGACCCGGTTATTGGGACCGAACGGCGGCACGGGCAGGCGGGGGGGGGGGGGGGGCAACGGGGTGGGGGGGGCATAAAAAGGGTGCACGGCGGGGATGCAGGAAAAGAGGGTGCACGGGTTGGAAGAAAAAGGGTTGCATGCAGCGGGGGTGCACGGAAAGGGGGATCGAAGGGAAAGGGTTCAGGGAGGGGGTCCTACCTGCCGCCCCCCCGGGGGGCAGCGGCTCGCTGTCGGGCCGGATGGGCAGGGCGAGCTTGGGGCGGGCGGTGCGGGCGGGCAGGGCGAGCAGGGCGAGCAGCAGCAGGGCGGTGCGCATGGTGCCGGGGAACCGGGGGAACCGGGCGGCCGGGGGCGGGGAGGGGGGGCCGGGCGCTGCCTGCCGCCTCCGCTGCCACCGCCTCTGCCCGGCCGCCGGCCCCGGCCCCGCTTTATAGGCGGCGGCATGGGCAAGCGGGAGCTGCGAGCCCTGTGCAAACAAAGGACCGCTAATGAGGCGCAGGCAGCGGCCGGCCGGGGGGACGCGCCCCCGCCGCGATCCGAGCTCCCCCCCCCCCAAGAGGTCCCGGCCCACCGGGCGAAGGGACACCTTCAGCCACTGAGCCCCTGCTCTGAGAGAATAAGGTACCTCTGCCCATGGGTATGCTAGGGAGACCCCCGTCTGTGAAACACCATGGGGACCCCTTGGCATGGAGCATCTCTAGGACCCCCCCGAACCGTTGGTCCCCTCCCAGACGTGGAGTACCTTGGGTATGGAGCTCCCACTGGACCCTGTATCCTTTCACCCACATGTCCCTGGTGAAGCTTGGCATGCAGGGGACCCCCTCACATCCACACAAGACTCACTGGGGCAATGCAGAACCCAAACCACACCCCCCTCCGTGGGGCTTGGGGTATTCCTGTGCGCTGGACACCGTGAGTACACCCCAATCCACATCCCTCCCCACGCTGCCCCAGGACATAAGGCCCCTACAAGCCCTCATTTCCCCCACACCATAAGGTCACCCTTCGGACAAAAGAAACATCTCCCCTCAGCATCCCCCCAAATCTGCGCTGCGCCATGTGATGTCAGACTCACGCACCCCACAACGTGTGCCTTTGGCATCCCCAAATCCCAGTGCAGAGGGCAATCCCAGAGCAGGACCACAGGACCACAAGCATGAGAACAAGACCTGGGGTCCCAGGGAGGTGCTGTGTCTGAGGGCATGGGAGCAGCACCCAGCACGGATTCTGGTCTTCACCCACATGTGCCCAGGCTGATGAGGGCAGCAGCGGTGGTGGGCAGGGAGCAGACACCATGGGAAGGCCTGGGGAGAGCACGGTCCAGCTGGGGAAACTGAGGCGCAAGGCACAAGTAGGGGAGAGTGGTGTGTGCCACCCGTGTCTCCCCCACCAGCAGGGAGGGAATGAGGTGCTAGGTCCCCCCACCAGTGGGGAGGCAGGCGGGTGTGCAGGGGAGGAGGGGGAAGCGCTGGGCTGCCAAAATCAACTCTGGGCGGTGCAAACAGCCGGCCAGCTGCACGGTGTAACTAGGGAAACACTGCGCAGCTGGAGCACAACAGGCCCTTACCTCCCCAGAAGGCTCCTCCTGGGCCTCCCCACGGCACAGCGAGTGGCTAGGGGGGCTGCAACCCCACACACCATATCCCTGCTGCCAGATGCCCCATCCCTGTGCCCTCCCCCACCCCGCTTGGCACGAGCAAGCCCCGGCAAGGGGTAGCTGGGTTTCCCCATCGGGACATCCCATTGCCACCTCCAGGGCTGGGACACCACAGACATTCCATATGCAACACCGTACTGCTCGCAATGGGCTGTGCCCGGCAGCGTGGCACCCCATTCCCATGCCCACCCCGTCAGTGCCACCGACCTGTCCCTGCTCCTCTCTCCCGTTGTCTCTGTTGGCCTGGGATCCGGTGACAGGGGAGGGCTGGGGGCTGCGTGGCCGTGCCAGCGTCACCGCCTGGTGCCCACCGCCGTGGTGCAGCCTGGGGGGAACGGCGGGGAGCGAGCAGGGCTGAGCGGGGAGGAGGAGGCGGGCGATGGCTGCCGGCCGCCCTGCCGGTGCCAGGAATCTGCCGCTGGCTCCGCGCACCCGGAGCTCGTCACAGTCTCCTGGCTCGGCTGCGGGGATGTGGGGAAGCAACAGGGGAAGCTCCCTCCCCTTTCCCGGGAAGGAAGGAAAGCTGGGAGAGCCATGGCCTTGGCATGGGAGAGACTGAGGCATGGGAAGGGCACGGGGGTAGCGAGGTGTTCACTGCTACAACAGGAGCACATGGGTTGGGAGGAAACGGGCATGGGATGAGATAGGACACACACGGGCATCCCTACCGCACAGCCCCACGCGGTCCTGAAAGTCCTGGAAGTGCCCCCCCCAGGGGTCTCTGTGCTTTTGGGGTGGGAAAGGGTCCCGGTGCCGCCAGCTGGTTCCCGGCGCCCGCACATGCACTGGGAGCTCCCGGCACAAAGGCGGCTCTGAGGCTCCCTGCAGCCGGGCCTGGCGCCGGCACAGCCCCAGCGGGACAGGGCTGCCGGCTGCGGGCAGCTGGAGCTGCATGGGGACAGAGCCAGGCAGCCACGGCTGCTCTGTACCACCCCATAAGCCGGAGCAGGTGCCCGGCCCCATGGCATGTAGGTGCCGGGAGCACATCAGGGTGGGCACACTGATGATGGTACTCCACTGTGGACTCTGCGTGGGCTGTGTGGGCTCTGTGGCCATGTGGCCACGAGGGGTCACTCGGAGGGGCCACCATCTCATCCCTCTCTGCCCAGTGGTGCCGTGCCTGGCTTAGGGGTGCCTGTGCCAGCACTGCCGCCCCATGCAGCTCCCTATTGTCTGTCCCTATTAGCTGCTGTCTGCTTCAGGCTTTGAACATGAGCCGGGCTCAGGGCGGCAGGAAGGAGCCTCTTCTCCCTAGGGATGGGGTCGAAGCGAAACCGCACGCCCTAACCCCTTCCCACAGCCTCCATCCTCCTCCGGGCACCTTGACAGCCCGTGCCATGAGTAACGGGGGCCAGACCCAACTGGAGCTGGGGAGCCACAGAGACACCCCCCTCTCCAAAAAGAGCCCCCCTCACCTCACTCACTATGGCCTCCCCAAAGCTCTGTGCAGAACGAAGCCATGCCCCGTGACTAATCCCCCCCCGGCCTCGCACATACACGGCGGGGAGGGGGGTGCTGTCGTAATGGGTGGAAATATCTCATAATTCACGTTGGACATGGGGATTGCAGCCGTTCCGGCAATATTTGCACAACTGGCGGGCGGCTCGCAGGGCTGGGCCGCCCCAGACGAAGGCAAGGGGGGTCTGGGGGCGGAGGGTATTTGGGGGTGGCAGGTATGGGGTGAGGGGGTGCAGCTGGGGGAGCGGCTGCTTTTCGTCTCCAGACACATGGAGTTTATTAGGGACTGCGTGTTCTCAGCACGGTGGGGATGGATGGGGCTCTCTGTCCCTTCTTGCCTTGTGGCGGAGGGGGGGGCCAGGATGTGGGCAGAGACCCCAAAATATCCTCATGCGCTATGCTCGGGGCTGTGCCCACTCCCAGTGGCCCATCACGGGGTACCCAAAGACCACAGAGATCCCCTTCATCCCTATGGGAAGAAGGCAGGGAGCGCGTGGGGCACGGGGGGGCCCTGTTTGGCATGGGGATTAGCACGCTCCCAGAGCAATCGATGGTGGTCTCCCCCCCCCCCCCCCCACCGGACATGCAGGCAAATATTTGTGCCCAGACTTCGCGGGACGGCGAGAAGGAATTTCATTCTTGCGCCCACCTGCGGCTTGACCGCCTGGCATTAACCCCTTCACCACCCCAGGGGATGGAGGGAGGTGCCCCCCCTGGTGCCCCCCATGCGGGCAGCGGAGTGGGCAAGGAGTGCGACAGGGCAGCATTTGGTGCAGATGGTTGGCCGCAGCTCTGGGCAGGCCTGTGACAGTGCTGATGGTTGTTGTGGGCACAGCACAGTTTATCCTGGCAGTCCCCTATTAGACAAACCCTGTGCAGGGCCTGTGGAATATGGAGAATGGGCAAACCATGCCAACCCCCCACCCGGCTGCCCTCTGCAGCACAACCACCTTCCTGGGCTGCTCCTGGGAGTGGGATGGTGGGGCATGGAGAGCTCTGTTTGCCCACGGATGTTTATTGACAATTTGCAAATGTAAAACAGGACCGGAGGGGGTTGAGATCTTTGCCTGTGGTGGGGTGAGGGGAGCACAGGGCCTGCTCACAGCATCCTGCTGGCACCCCCAGCTCCGTCCCTTGTTCCCCAGCCTCTTTGTGCCCAGCTGGGCCCTGAGCAAACGGGGCTGTTTGCTCACTCCGGGATTAGCTGCTCTCTTTGTTCCTTTGACTTTCTCTTCCCTTTATGCCGGACCCTTTTATGGGGGCTTCAAAGGGGGCTCGGAACCACCACCTCCACCCCCCCCCCCACTGCCTGCAGAGCTCATGTTGGTTTCCCGTGTCTCACTGCTTTGCAGCAACATCCTGGCGGTGCCTACTGGGGACACCTGGGTGGCCCTTGGGGACAGCAGCTGTGTCACCTGCCCAGTCCTCCCCCACTGCCTGGCACCTCCGGCTGCCCTTGGCACTTGTTGGAGTGGGTGTGAACGGCTGCTCGCCACAGCAGGATTCCCGGCACTTTGCACCCTGTAAGCAGAGGTGGGAAACACAGCACTGGGATCCAGCCAGCTGCACAGCTCCGTGTCCCCCCAGGACAGCACATCCCAGCAGTGCCATTCCCAGCAGGAAAACAGTGAGCTGCCTGCTGGCATTGCTGGAAGGAACATTTTGGGGTGAAGGGCACCCTGCGGTGCTCTGGTGTCTTCTGGCATCCAGCAGGCATCCTGCCACGTACCAGCTGCCCCTTTTCCCTGATGAGTTTTTCGCCTAATTATGAAGGTTATGGGGCACTGCAGAACTCCAACCCAGCACCGTGAGGGGCAACGAGCCCAAAGAGGGACGGGGACCAGGGCATAGTGTTGGGGACCGTGAGAAGGGATCAGAGTTGGGAGTGAGGACAGAGCTGTCCCAGGGTGCCAGCAGGGTGCGTTTGCAGCCCGTCACGTCCGCAGAGCTGGGACACGGCCGTACGGGGAAGCCCAGCGGTGTTTGACCCCAGTGCTCACAGCTGCCGCCAAACCGTGCTGCACTGCGTCACCAGCGCTGCCCCCATAGCCAGAATGGGGCTGCCGGAACCCACCAGGACCCCCCGCCGCTTGCAAGGTGGGTTGATGGCTGTGGGGGCAGGGGGACGTGGGATGGGCACAGGGGGGCCGAGGTGTTTACCCTGGTTCCTGTCACCTGGCCAGGGGCTGCCGGGAACCGCTGGCCACGAGGACGGGATGGGAGCGTGTGAGAGCAGTGCTGTGTGTAGTGTGCAGGAGGATGAGGTCTGGGGGCTCCTGAGTTGGTGTGGGTGTGAATGCAGGGGGCTGCGCGATGGTGGGATGCATAGGGGCCATGTGAGCATGCAACCCACAGTGCGCATGCGTGGGGCTGTGGTGCAAGTGGGGGTGTGGGTGTGCACGTGAGCACAGATGTGCACGTGGACACATGCATGTGTGCACTGCTGCCCCTGGGGGTCTCTCCAAGCTCTCTCCACCAAAAAACCCCACTTCCTGGCCCCCACGCCCCATGACTGTCTCTCAGCTCAGAGCACCACTGACACCAGCTATCCTGCCGTTCCAGGACCACCTTTGTGCCACAGATAGGCACGGCCACCGTTCCCAGCACCGATATCCCTCTCGCAGATCACTCACGCCCAGGGCGAGGGGCAGGTGAGTGCCTGAGGACGCCCTTCCCGATCCCGGAGCCAAGGGAGGAAGCGGCTGGAGGCAGGAAGCCGTCCCCAGGGCCCCCGGAGCACTTTTGCTCGAAGGTCAGCAGCAACACAACAGGAAATCACGCTGCCTCGGCACGGCGGCCGGGCCAGAGTGCTGCGCCGTGCTGTGCTGCCCGAGGGGTGTTCCCAGCCCCCAGTCCTCCATCCCGGCCCGGCGGCTTGCGGGGGGGGCCCGCACCACATCTGCCCTCCATGGAAGGGGGACGGGAGCCGGGGAGCAGCCGCAGGCCCCAGGGCAGAGGATGCAGGGCTGAAGCCCCCAGCAGAGCATGGAGCTGAACAGTGAGTGCGGGGTAAAGGGGATGGGCATGAGTGGGAAGGGGCACTGCTGTGGCAGTGGAAAACCAAATCACAGCCCCAACCTCCCTGGCACAGGCACAGCCATCACCCCACATGTTAGAAGCGAATGCCAAGGGTGCCTCTGGTTTGGTTGGAGCTGCCCACTGCCAGTTTGGCATCTCCCTGTGTCCAGCCTTGGCAGCAGGTTCTGCCCAATCTTTCTGGGGACAGGTGCAATGCTGAGGTGGTAACAAAGGACACAGGCGGATGGACGAAGGGCTCTCAGAGATGGCAGTCACCAGCATGGAGCTCAGAAGTCAGCCAGCTGAGGGGTGCCTGGGGCAGCAGCATGCCCATGGTGCCAGCAGAGACCACACACAGGCGAGCCCTTGGCTGCTGCAGTGGCGAGGAGTCGACGTGCACTGCAGGAGGCTGCAGGCAGGGATTCCCCGAAATGCACGTGACAGCCAGAGCTGCTCCTGGCACAAACTCCCCAAAGGAAGGCCTGCACAGGGAACACAGCTCAGCTGCCTGCCTGCTTCCCAGGCTGGAGCTGAGCCTAAAACCCAGCACTGATGCTTGTCACTTCCCCCCAGCCCTTCTGCACTGCTGGGAAATCCCAGCTCTGCCCAGAATCATGTCCCCAGAAACAGGAGGGAGACAAGATCCTTCTCAGCCTCCAAAACCTCCTCTTGTCCTACTACAAAGCAATTCCAGACACCACCAGACCAGGCAGAGCAGTTGCTGCTGTAGGCGTTACCTGAGCTGGGGCTCTTTGAGGAGGGTGGCCAGGTGCCCATGGGTATCTCCTTCTTTCCCAGGACTACTGCTCCTCACATCTTTTCTCCTGCACATCAAAGAAGGCCATGCCAGGCCAATGGGGCCGGTCTGCGACAAGAGACTGATCCAGAAGTACATCGGGGAGGCCAAGGACATGGAGAAGAGAATGGTGAGGAAGCAACGCCTCCCAAAACCCAGTATCAGGCTGGGCTGGCAGAACAGAGCTGGAAAAAACTCCCGGCGTCTCACCACAGCAATTCTTCTCCCCCAACAGAGCGAGTGCCAGGCACTACCCACACTCAGCTGCCCTGTGGTTCTGCCTTTGGTGGACTTCAACATGCGACAGTGGAAAAGCAAATCGGTGAGAGGGGCTGGGAGGATGGTGCTGGGGTGCCTGTGGGAGTTGAGAAGGAGCCCCTGGGTAAGCAGAGGGATGCGGTCACCAAACAAGCTGAACAAGAGGCTTGTAGAAACAGTTGGTGGCACAGGAGCATTGTGTGGAGATGAGGTGGAGGATCCCTCCACATCAAGGGTGGGCATGGGAACGATGGGCCTGCAGCCCTGTGCCAGCGGGGTCAGTACACACACTGCTCCACAGGATGAGATCAAGTGGCGTGAGATCCTGTGCAACCTGGTGCTGCTGGTGGGTGCTGTGACAGAAGCTCAGGGCCAGGTGAGCCAGGAATGTGGAGCCAATCAGCTGAGACAGCTCTATCGACATGCCAACTCCTTCCTCCTGCTCCTGCAGACCTTTGGCTGGGAGGTGAGGCCTCATCGCGTGAGCAAGGACACCTTCAGGGCAGGTGTCAGCTGGGCATGATGGCATTTGTGACCCCCTCATCTCACTCTTGCCCCTCAGGAAGGGCTCTGCTGCTCCCCCAGCTCCATTGAGCAGACTCAAGTCACTGAGATCTTCCTCACCTACCGACAGTTGGTGCAGGGCAAGCTGCGCTTCTTCTTCCACAACTTGGCTAAGGACTCATGTGACTGAGATTGGGGCAAGCAGGGACCTCCAGCCCAGGGCCTGATGAAGCTGTACACAGGATTCAACACTGATAAGAGGTCAGAGCAATCCCATAAGACAATGAGCCGTGCTCTGGGTGCCCAGGAAGGTGCCACAGGGAAAGGGTTGGCTCCTTTTCCACAAGCCTTTGGCTATCACATGGCTCACAGCCACACCTGTGCAGCACGAGGCACACGCCTTGCTCCTATCAGACTGTGAATGCTTTACAATTAAAGACCTATTTTTCTAAAGGATTGTTTGTGTCTTCCTGTTACCACTGCTGTGGCACTGGACTGGGAAGCATACACCAGCCTCTGGGAGAGGCAGCAGCTGGGGGATATGCTCCTGTTCTCCCCACAGCATCCAGCTCCCTCCTGCGGTGGCTGCCATCTCTGCAGGGCAGCTGGGCTCTGTTAAGGGATGTGAGATGATAACATCCCCTGCTTTCTGGTATCCACCTGCCAATCTCACTGTGCTGAGTTCTGGGGTCACACAGCACCATTCAGGCTAGGACAAGCCCCTACAGGAGCCACAGCCTGCAAGCCACTGTCCCTGATGTGGTAGCTTTGCTGTCTGCTACCACAACACCCTCCATGAGCATTCCATCTTCATCTACCAGCCTGCCTCCTGGGAAGACAGCCTCACCTCTCAGCCACAACAACCACATCTAGAAAACACATAGCAGTTTAATTAAGGAGCCACACCTGTCTCAGAACAGCACGTTAGAAAATGATGCCCAGCCTTAGCACAGACAGGTGTATGTCCCAGTCCAGCTGCCCCTGGCCAGAGCTGGGGCTAAGCCTGCTTTTGAAGTGCAGGAAGGTGAGAAAAAAAAAAATCAGCAGACAGGACCACAGAGCACCCATGGTCTCCACTGCAAATAAGGGACCAGCCCCTACATGGAAGGGAAACAGTCAGAAAAGAGTGGGATGAAAAGGGGGAATGCCCCCTCCTACACCACCACTGGAGGAGCTGGGCAGCAAAGGTGCTGGGGTGGGATTTGGGGTGATGGTGTCCTGTTTGCTCGCCAGCAGAATGTCTCTGGGGCAGGCAGCCCACTGAGGTGCATCATCTCCTAGAAGGCCAACTTCTTCATCAGCAGGTAAACTCTGGAGTCCACTTCAAACCCATGCAGATTGTTTGCATCTCCCTGAAGGCGCATGAGCAGCCCCCCGTAGGACACGTAAGCAGAGCTGGGGCAGGAGGAGAGGAGCGGTGAGAGCAGGGAAACTCATAGGAGACCCAATCAAGACACTGCTGCCACCCCACCACCCTCAGGCAATGCATCCCCATCTGGCAACAGACACTCACAGGCGTGTGGCTGCTTCTGTGGACGTTTCATCCCCCTCAATCCTGTACACCTTGCCATACATCACATACTCGAACTGGTCTGCCCTGAAATGAGATGAGGGGAACTCAGAGAAGTGCCAGAACTGTCACCCCCCCTCCTTCCCGCAACCCCTAGCAGAGCATCCTCTGGAAGAAGGCACCTCGCAGCCTTTCAGCACCCCAACTCCTCCACCACTGCGAGCCACAGCACCTGGAGGGCCTGTCATCTGTAGGGTTGTACTCCCCATCATCCAACGTGCCATCCTCATACAGGGTGCTGGCAATGACCAAACGGAATTTGTCACCTGGGAGGAGACAGCAAAGGAGCAGTGTGAAGGCACAGCCAGAGCAATGGCAGTCACAGTGGCAGCTGCAGCACAACTGCAGCAAGGAATTGCCCTGGTGAGTTTATTATGAACCTGGTTCCTGTGTATTCTCCAATAGGATAGCAGAAATTGAGGGAGACACGTACTCTTATCTCTCCCTACAGAAATTTATCAGCACTGCAGAGCCACCAGGTCAGCACAACTAATGTTTTCATGGCACACAGCAAGGGAACTGCATGGAGAGCCTTGGAAAGTTGAGCTTGCCTTGGGCAGGTATGGAAGATCAGCCCCTTCCTCATCTTATTTATGGTAAGTTTTCGATTCAGTTAACGTATTTAGGCATGGAAACCCATTTCAAAAGCTCTCCATCAGACCCGGTTGCCATTAGCTAACACAGATTCGCTAAGGGGTATCTCTAGGGGATGGGTCAGACCTGATTCTAAACAAACCCCACAGCGCAATGAGCCCGAATGGAGCTCAGCCCCAGCAGCGCCAGCACCACGCACCCCTGCGACGAAGGACAGCGCAGTACCACGCACACTCCTCTAGCAGCAGGCCAGGCCCCCCTCCTCCCCGGCCCCCTTCCTCCCCATCCCGGCGGCGTACCGAGGTCCACGGGGTAGATCTGGATGTTGACGTCCAGGATGAGGTCCATCTTGAAGGACTCGCTCTCGCAATGCAGGCGAGACACTGCGCAGAGCGGGGCGGTCGGCACAAGGGAAGGCCCGCCGCACCCGCCCCCTCCCACGCCGGCACCGGGGCCGCCCGGAGGCCCGAGTGAGAGTTAAGGGCTCAGGGAAGAAGGGTTGGGAACGGGGGGGTTCCAGCTCACCGCGGTCGAACTTCTTGCCCTCGGGGTCGATATCTTTCACATCGAAGATGTCCTCGAAGAGTATCCCAGCCATGGCGGAACCGCCTCGCGCCCGCTCCCGCAACAGCGCACGGTGATGACGTGTTTCCACATCCGACACACACCAGGCTGCGGGCAGCGGGGCGGAAGAAGCTTCATGGTGGGCGGGGCTAGACCTACGCCTGCGCGGTGCGGCCGGCAGATGAGCCCGCGCGGTCTTCGCGCCGTCAGCAGCGCCCCCTGCAGGCTTGGGAGGCGCACTGCGGTGCGTGTGGGGGGCGGCAGGGGGCGCTGCGCGGCCGCGGATCGCACAGCGTGGGCCGGGCACGGCGGCGGGGAGCGCGGAGCCGGCGGGCACCTCCCAGCGGGACCCGGCTCTGAGCGGGGCATGGGGGCTGCCCCCGGCGACGAGCCGTTCAAGGCCCCCCAGGAGCAGCCGGGGACGGTGCGGCTCTCGCTGCCGGGACGGTGGGGGCAGCGGCGCACCGAGCACCGGGAGGCACACGGCGTCACGCCTCTGCCCTCACGCGTCACCCCCCACCCTACCAGTGTCACACCCTCACGGTGTCACCTTCTCTCTGTGTCAACCCCCCCAGTGCCACCCAGCCCCCGCTGTCAGCCCCTCTCCATGGGTGACACGAACGGCTCGCTGCGGCCGCGCTGTGCCGCTTGGGTGGGCGGAGGGATGCGCGGGTACAGAGGGACACGGAAGGACAGAATGACACAAAGGACAGAGGGACGCGGCTTGCCGGCCCCGCACCGCTGGGGATGAGGAATCGAGGCTGCGGGTGGCCGCCGCTCGGTGCCCCCGCCCGGAGGCACCTGCCAGGTGCCCGCCGTCGCCTCCTTATCTGGAGCCAAACAAACCTTTCCAGCACCTGGTGCCGCTCTGTGCCCGCAGCACCAGCTCTCACCCCCCTCCCCTGGGTCCCAAGGCTGTGGAGACCCCGCAGACCGACTCCAAGTGCTCTGCAGTCCCCGGTGCACTGGGATGGTGGGGGCAGATATATTGGGGGGGGGGGGGAGGTGGAGCACAGCTCTGTCCCTGCCTTAGTGCACCCCAAAACACCCCAGCACACAGTGGGACTCGCTGGGGGTCCCTCCATGTGGCTTCTCCCCAGGTTGAAAGTCCCAGTGCTCACAGTGCTGGGCTCTGTGTGTGTGGGGTGGAGAGGGGAGGGGGGGTTAGCCATGGGGCTGTTATCTTCCACTGATAAATTGTACAACATGAGCGTGGCTTTGAACAGCGGCCAGGCCTCCATCCGGCAGGATGGCGTTGGGGGGCCAACACAGTCTCCAGTGATCTCCAATGGGGGGGGGGGGGTGGTGATGGAGATGGGGGAAGTGGCTTTGGAATGAGGGGCTGATGGGGATGGGAAGCACGTCCTCTGCACCTCCTGGGGTGCTCAATGGTCCTCAGAAGCAAAGCAGAGAGGCACAGCGGGTGGCAGGACCACGGTGGCATCTGGGTGGTTGGGCAGCCCCAAATCCCTGCCTGCACACCAAATCCCTGCTCTCTCCCCAAAGTCTGCCCGGCTCAGGGTGGGAGTGGTGCTTCAGAGGTGGCTGCGGCCCCTCTTATCTGTGAGCACAAAGGAGCCGCAGCACCGCCCTTATGGAGCAAACAGACTGGGGAGAGGCTGGGAGGGCCCGTTGGCATTGGGCATTGGGGTGGCACCGTCCCCACGTTGCGGTGCTATGGGGTGCAGTGGTGACATCCCCCCACTGAGCAGCCCCCCCTAAGGCTGGGGCTGGGCAGGAAGAGACCGAGCCGAAATTAAGCTGTTAATGAGTCTGTCTGTCACCGGGCTGCCAATTACCCATGTGGGTAAGGAGGAGATGATGGAGGTGGCATGGGGCAACCTGGCAGCCCACCCGATCATCCCCTCATTAGCACCGCATAACCCCGAATGAGGGACAAGGCCCTGGGCAGGGATTAGCCCCTTCCCTTCCCTGCTGAGGCCGTGATGGGCGATGAAGGAAGGAAAAAATGAGCTTTGGGGGAAAAATATGTGATAAGTGTCGGTCCTCTGCCCCTGGTGTGCAGGGTCTGGGGAAAGGCCCGTGCCCCACAGCTCTGTCCCTGTCCCCGAATTCCTGCGGGCTGATGCTGACGTCTGTTTTTCCGTGACACCTCAGCCGGTGCTGCAGGGGGGACAGGGCCATCTCCCCACAGCTGTCATCGCGCTGGGCTGTCCCCATGATGGCCCTTATCAGCGGGTGGCCCTGGGCTGCAGGCTGCAGCCCCCGATCCCATGGTGGTGGGGGGCTGCGTGCCCTTTCCTGCCACCCTCTGTGCCCCACATGGGGTATTGGGGATCTCTGGGGTGCTGGGTCCCATGGTTCTTCCCCCAGAACTCACCAGTGCATTCCCCCCCCATCCCAGACCCACCAACCAAACCCGGCCAAGCTGGGTTAGGATGAGAGCTGGGGGATTTCGGAGGGCTCCAAATTAGCTTAATGGCTTTGGAAGACAAACAGATTAGAGAGCTGCAGCAGTCAGGGCAGGGATCAGCTAAATTGGAAGCAGAGGCAGCGCCCCAGTCCCTCCGGTCAGCCCCAGGCCACAGTCCTGCAACACCCACCGGCTTGTCCCCATCGCCCCCATCTCTCCCTGCAGTGCTGGGTCACAGCAGTCCCTTCCCTCTGCCCTGGGTTTTGGCCACGTGTCAGCAGCCTCCGGGCGTTGCTGTGCTTCCCCTTCCCTTTCCCTTCCTGTCCATTCCCCGTTCCCCGTGCCCCTTTT